AGATTCTGGCGTCATTTATTCTTCTAACATATTTCTCTAAAAATAAGGGAATGAGGCAGCACAGAAGGAACTAACCAAATGCCACAACAACAAATACCTGAACCAATCTACTATGAGGACTAAGAGGCTCATAACAACTTATGGAAATCAACAGAAAACAGAGACTTAAATGGAAATATACATGAAACCAACATTCAAAATGCCCAAGGCTTGAGGTTACATTACTCAATTTTAAATTCTTTCTGGTAATAATAATAATATAAACACATACGAGATATAATCAAGAGACAACCCAGACAAAGAACCCTGGGTAGGTCATAGTCGTAACAAAAAGAAGACACCAAATATAAATAACATTAACAAGTATGATCAGGAATCAAAACTGTAACAAGGACCACAAACCACTTAAGTAAACCAATTAACTATTCACCAGTTAATAAGCCACTTAAGTGAATCATGGATATTTGACAACTTAGGTGTTGTGATGGACATTAGATGAGAAGAGAGCTGAAGATCTAGCTATAAAGACTGTTGAACCTCCACACCTGGAAGTCTATATTTACAGAGCCGTAGTAGAAGATATTTCCCCTAAAACCTTTGAAGGACCAGGCCATAATTCCTTTTATGATGTGCATCTTTCCCTTGAAATGTTTTCAGACAAATCTGAGTTGGTTGGATAAAGTTTTACTTGTTTTTCAAATTTGATAAAGCGCAGTCCCTTGGATTTATTTTTGTGTAAACGTAGCTTTTAAATAAAGGTAACAGATTCATGAATATAATTCGATGTAAATGTGCAGAAATCTGTGCAAAAAAAGAAGGAGTATGGAAACACTTACCACTTCTAAAATACCCAACAGAAACATGTCGAGCTGAACGAGTGTGGAGTTGGTCCAGCTCTTCACTGGTCTCATGATTTGCAGAACAGTATTTGATTCAGTCATGTTTAAGTAGTTCAGCAGATCATAGTATGAACAGTCTGAAGTCTGACTGGTGGAAAACCCTGCTGACAAAAAAACACAAAATCGTAACTTACAGGCAAAATGTAAGACCTAAACATCAGAAACTCATCCAACTAAAGTTCAGAAAAATAATTAAAATGTTCAAATCAAGGTCAAATTTAAAAACTCACCAATTAAGGAAAGAAAAGTTAGAGTCCTCAGAGCAGTCATGGCTGTCTGCCTTCAGTCCCAGTAAACGCTTTTAAACTGCACAGCTGCTTACATAGAACAGAGTCATACAATAGTGTGAAGGAGAAATTAATATATGTAAAAAATGAACTGTCAAGTATACTAAAATCCTTCTATTTGTTCCTGTGTGCTGTTGAAAGGGAAATAATACTAATCACCTCTGCATTCATGTCATTGGCTGGCAGCTGAGTCAAAAAGTCAACATGTAAGTATTAAACCAGGAGAGAGTAGACAGGTTTTCAGTGAGCAAACTCTTTGCAGTGCCCGTAAATATTTAATGATAATTCAGTTTTACTTTGAAAAGTGACTCTCTAAGTCACTGATTATGAATTTATATTTTCAGGTATAATACAGAATGTAATTACCAGAGGTTTTATGCAATTATGTGTGAAATCTTCAGAAAGTTTAAGCACTGTTCAGAATATAAAATTCAGCTATTCTTTAATTAACTCAGTTACTTGCAAAATACTTCAAAGACAACAGATCAAATACTGAAAGTGAGAAATAAAATGTTTGAACAATGGTAAAATATTCTTCATTTTGACTGTGTATGGTTAGACAGTAGATTATACATTTAACACAGTTCAAGAGTTTAAAAAACATTTATAACCGTTGATAAATTATAGCCATTTTTATGTATGACTACAACCTGTTTAAAATTCAATCCATGATCTACTTGGTGAGCCTGAGGATTAATCCATGTACAGTGGAAGCCCGGCTTACGAAGACCCCATTTAACAAAAAATTCAAGTTACGAAGGCACTTAACAGCAATATTCCTGCTCATGATACGGCAAAATGCCCGTGTAACGAAATAGATAAAATAGAAAATTTTATCTTCAACGCACACCTCCGGCAGAGCTTCAACAGCATTCCGAGGGAGACTGGGGACATTGAGTCCGAATGGACCATGTTCAGCGTCTCCATTGCCGAAGCTGCTGCATTGAGCTGCGGCCGCAAGGTGGTTGGTGCCTGCCGTGGTGGTAATCCCCGAACCAAAT